CGTATACTATTATGATATATAAATATACTATATATATAATAATATACTATGATATATAAGCCATTTATAAAATAAAAATAGCAAAAAATCAGTCATTTTTATAAACGTATTCCTGTTCTGCTATTCAGTCCATTATGTTATGAGTTAGTTGTATGTTTTCTAGTGACATTACCCGGTATCTCAGATAAGCCGGCTAAACAATTGAGCTTAACTTAGCACTAAATTGCATAGTCGCGAGGTTTTAGGCTAGGTTTACAGAACAGTTTTTCTACGTTTCACACATATTGTGCTGTACATACATGAACACTGTTTTCCTGCTGTCCACAGACCAGTTCCGTGTGATGAGGTTTCTACCCGCAGCCTCGCTCTGTGCTGTGACCTGCTGGCCTCCGTGTGTCACGTGTCCCTGCAGGTCTGTGATGATGCTCTGGGCTGCCACCTACAGGTCATCATTGGAACTCTAACTGCTCAGGTGACCAGCCGACCCTCCATCTCAGAGCAGGTAGGTGATTGCATGCCAAAGCGTGGTGTTCGTTGAATGTATTTAGTATTTAGTACAAAGCATACAGTTCAAAACTTTTGGGCCGCCCATAATTTCTTAATATTTCATTAGGAAAATGGGAAAGACAATTTTTAAAATGGTAAAAGTTTTTAGGAATACCACTTCTTGTTTTTCAATTTGGTTTCAATTCAGTTTTATTTACACAAATCACAACAACGGTTGCCTTAAGGTGGTTTATATTGTAAGGTAGACCCTACAATAGTATATACAGAGAACAACCCAACAATTTTATGAACCCCTTTGAGTAAGCACTTTGGCAACAGTGGGAAGGAAAAACTCCTCTTTAACAGGAAGAAATCTCCGGCAGAAGCAGGTTCGGGGAGGAGCTTCATCTGCCGAGAGCAGTTGGGGTTAGGGGAGGAAGACAATCTGGGTCTTTTTGTGCACAGACAGAAGGATGGACTGTTTGCTGATAACAAACTCTTCTTTATTTCATATCTTTGTCTTAGAATAACTGTGGCTCCTTTTCAGTGTGCATGATTTTGATTTTGAATCCTCTTTTTGCCCTGAAGGTGCTGAGTCTGCTGCAGTTTCTTGTCATAGAAAATCAGCAGACGTTAAAGGAAGCCATCAGAGGGTTGGAGCCTTTCCCTAATATCCCTGAATTCAGAGAGCTGCGGGCTGTACAGCACAAACTCAAATATAACGCTGGCACCTTCAGTCTGAGACAGGTAAAAGCAGCAAATACATGTGTAAATATAATGTCCTCGCTTTAAAAGTCTATTTAGATCTTCTCTCATCATATTGATACGGAGAGTAATGAATTTTTAATTATCCCCCCTGCAGGAGATCGCCCACTTTCTGTCAGTGACGTCCTGTGACTCCTTACCTCTGACTAGACTGGAGGGGTTAAAGGAGCTCACCAGACAGCTGCATGACAACAAAGGACAGATCAGAGAGCTCCTTAAAGAGTGCCACGGTATGATGCTAAAGGAGGAAGAGTGGTTTCTGCGTGAGAACGATTGCATGTAAATGTTTTCCATCCGTGTCGTCCTTTTTAGCCGATGCGAGCGACAGTGTGCTGGTGAAGTTGGTCCTCAATCTGCTGCAGCTCTGTAAACTAGCAGCCGGCCACCCTGGAGGAGCTGACATTCAGGGTAAAACAAATCAAAGCTGTGTTGTCTTCCATGTCAACAGTTTGATAAGATTCCGTTTGGCAGTGCTCTCATAGCTCAGTCCTTGTGCTGCAGAGGCGGCAGGCAGCTGTTTAGGAGAACTGGGTCCAGTAGACTTGTCCAACATCGCCCTTCTCCATGGCAGAGACCCCCTGTATGAAAAAGCCGTCTCCCTCTTTGAATCCACCGAGTCTCAGTGTCTGTACATCGTCCTCAACTGCACGAACGACGCGCTCACTCAACAGCAGTACGCTGACTCCTCAGATTCTGTAGCTATCAGGTTTTAACTCATGATGATGGGAAAGCTGATGTGCTCTGTGCTGTGGTTGTCTGCCAGAATCGAGGTGAGACGGGCAGCAGCTCAGTGCCTGAAGAACATCCTCGCAACTCAGTCAGGAGTCGACTTCTGGGAGCAACACAAAAGGAAAAGAGACCCCATGCTGACTTACCTTAACCCATTCAGAACAGCCAAGAATAAGGTGGGTTTTAGATATTTGTACGTGTGTCTGCAAGTTACCTCACGGGAGCTCACAGCAAGCTCATGCATCTGATTACTGGCTGCCATCCATGGTCAGGCGGTTGCTGTGGCTGCCAAGGAGAGCACAGAGGCCAGAGGAAACCTGAAGAGCCAGGAGTTCTGGATTCCCCAGGCGGGCAGCCATAAGAGCTGGCTGAAGGCTCTGTGCACAGCGCTGCTGGACAGCGGAGGGGTCAAGTGTGAGGCTCTGCTTTTGTCCCGACCACTCTGCCTGGTGAGTTATCCTAAGAGCTGTGTAGAAGTCGAATGGCTACATTACTTAATTTGTGTTTAATTAGTTAACATTTGTAGTCATATACTGAATGTCAGTACAGCCTACTCCACCTTATTCCTTCTGTGTCGCTCCATTATTCTCTCCATGTTTAGGTGTGGGTGGACTGCTGTCAGAGGTTACTGCCTCTCATCATTCACTCCATTCTTCTGGATGACTCCGATGGGTCGTTTAGGGACTTGCTCTCCTCCCACATTCAGGACTTTTTCAGCTTTTGTTGCAGAAGCGCTCAGGCCTCGAGTCGCTCCGCCACTCCTCTCACGTCTGACTCTGGTCAGATCTGTATATATATATATATGAAAAAGGATAACAACAACTTCTATATATACATATAAACACTTAAAAACAGCCATTAAGAATGGGAAATGACCAATTTCAGTGATTACAAGTGATCAGACTTGCTTTGGTTTAAGTTATGATTTTATCTTGGCGTTACAAATTTCAAAATCACTTATTGTTTTTTATTTCTAGTGGTAACGTGTTCCACATCTGTGGGCCTTTAACTTTAATTTCATATAATATCATCTGATTGACTTACTCAGGATTCACACCAGTGTGTAAGTCTGCCTGCGAGTGCACCAACCTGATGTTAATATGGTGAATGAGCGTGTAGATTATATCTCTGAGAACAAAGGCCCAGGCTCCACCCAGACCGTCCTTCACCTCCCTGAGCAGCAGACTGACGAACAAATGGTACATGAGGAGGATGCGGTGCCGTTCGTAGCTGTTGGTCGTCTCCGCTGCTCTTTCGCACACGGCCAGCAGAATCCTCTGGATAGAAATCTACAGACAGATGTAACATTATTGCACATAGAACAGAAAACGGAACACTGTGACTATTATCAAAACAAAAAAAGTTTGACTGGGTGACGATACATGAGACATCATACCGGGGTTTTTGACAGAATGGCTACCAGTGACTTGTGGTTGGAACCGTGGCACTTGCTGAGGTAGTCCAGTGTAGCTTTGATGACATATGAGTTGAAGTATGGTGGATTTGGTACCGGGTCTAGCTCTCTGAGAGATATTAAACACTGATTTTGACGTCCATTTGTTACCATACTGAGTATTTAGATGAATGAACAGTAAAAGGAAATAAAAAAAACAACTAGTAGAGGACAAATATCCCAATACCCAATAAAGCGTTTCAGGTCTCCTCTGTCTTCTTCAGCTCCACTTGCTTCATACAGAGTCATGAGCAGTTCCACTACAATGTCAGCCAGGTTACTGTGGATCAGGCTGTCGATTTGCTGTGGACACATGTGAGAAGGTGAATTTTAGAGTATATAAAATCATTTGACTATGGCTTGTTCAGCCAAGCGTTTGACCTTAATAACATTTTCTCAGATCTTAGGACTGACAAGCAAAAGTCTTGAGTGCAGATGTACTGTCGATACAAGCTGGTGTTACCTGTTTACCCAGACAGCTGGCATCTTTGAGCAGGTCATACACCATGTTGGCCTTCTCTCTCTGCTGTGCAACCTGCGAGTCCTGGCCCGGCAGTGCAAAGTATGGCAAAATGTTGACCATGATCTTTGGGAAACAGTCTGCCAGTAAGTGCCTCCAGTCTTTGTCAAGAGACCTGCCGATAGACTTCACCTGCTCAAAGTCATCCAGGAAGACCAGGCGGGGGATCAGCACCGGGTAGGAAGAGCTTTAAGGGTATTGGAAAAGGATGCTCAGTCCTAATACACTTGATTTCAAAAAACACCAGTTTAATGTAACTATAGCAGAGGGAAATGTGACTCAGTGACGCAAAGATGAGCTTGTTTTCTCACTTATAGAACTCTTGGATTGTGTCATGATCCAGTAGACTGTAGGGGAAAGATCCAAGAGTGTAGCGGTCGTCAGACTGTCTCTGTGCGAGCCACTCGGCCACCAGGTAGTTCAGGTGAGAGCTGACGAATGTTTTTACGCTCCTGTAGCCCAGCGCTCTGGAGACACTGCACAACATCTGAGGTGAAAAAGAGGACAGGACAAATCATGTCACCCTGGACGATTACTAAACCACAGTAAATCAGTTTGCATGCTTGAAATATTCTCCTCCCTATATTCTGTGCCTTGAAAAAGGAACTCCCATAAATCCACATGCAATAGACACAGTCGCAAAAATCCCACCTCTTACTGGCAGTAAAACTGGCCCATAGTGACATACGGTGCAGTATTAATCTGCGTCAGAGTAGTTATCCAAAGCACGTGTTACCTCACTTTTACAATGCATCAAGACATTGTAAAACCAAAATTGCATTCAAGTAGCTTGTTACCTTTTTAATGAGCTGCTCTTCAATATCGTTTTCTTTATAAGACTGAAAGAGTGCAAACAGGGACTGTTTTTCACACACGGGGCTACAGCACAGTACGACTGACAAGCTCTTGAGCAGGGTGGCCTTGCGGTTGAACATCTCGTCCTCCCGGTCCTCAGAAGAGCAGCCTCTCTGTGTGCGATTGCACAAACAATACGTTAGTCGGTGTGTGTGTGTGTGTGTGTACAATCGCAAAGAGTTGCTGACATGTGGTAATGCTGCTCGGTCTTACCGGAAGCTTCATCCCCTCCTGAGCCTTCAGGTAAACATTCTCAAAGGCTTTCTGCTGGTGTTTTAGTGGCAGCATCTTCTTCTTATCTGGTTGCTCTGAGCTCATGTCCAGAAACAGCCTGGAGACACAATACCAGCGAGCACATATTTATCTGTCTGATCTTGGTGGTGGTGGTAAAAGACGGAGGAAGCGTACCTCTCCACTGAAACGGCTACCAGCATGCGGACTTGGTGGTGTGCGTCTGCGAGGTGAGATGGAAGGACAGCAGACACGGGATGGTCTTCCTCTCCGTCAGAGGTTCTGATGCTCAGGACGGCCCACTTACAGCATGGGTCGGCCTAACCAAGCCGAAATGACAGCAAACGCAAAAGAACAAGAAAAGTCAAAAGCAGTGACAACGAGAGCTGCTGCAGTAATGGGACACTTTTACAGGCAGTAAAAACAGCAACACTGTTGCTTAATCGTAGATTTTACCTCCAGGAGAGCAACCAGACATTGCACTAAAGCAGCTCGCACAGATGCCACGCATTTACCTGTATGGCTCAGGAAACTGAAACGCAGTACAATAGGAGCATTAGTAACAGTTCTGACTACAATAGAATTTCTAAGAGAATTTCAAATTTCAAAAGAAGGTAACAATTGAAATCGTGTATGTAAATGTAATCTTTTTTAAACGAGCAGCCGGTTCATCTATTAATGGTGTAAAAACATGCTTCTAACCAGAATCCGGACACCACTTTCAGCAAGGATCCCTGCACATGTCTCATCTCCTCTGGCATGTGATGGGTTTTCCCCAGGCTCTTTATGGAGGGTAACAAACTCATCAGTACAGCAGCACAGATCTCCTGGTCCTGACGATACAGAGAGCACAGGTCCCTGTGAAGACAGCAACAAATACATCTATTTATTACCACAGACACATTAATTCACGTTGTGCAGATTGAATGTGTCTAACAAATACGAGTAAGAGAAAGGTTCTCATACGCCAGAGGACGAAGCAGCGAGTCAAATTCCTCCGGGGAGAGCGAGTCCTCAGCAGGAAGCTTCTTCAGCAGGATGAGATACTGCAAGAAAACCAGATAAGATGAGTGTTTCTGGCTAAAGGGTTGCCACGGTGATCCTCCAAATTTGCTGCTGCCTACCATGTTGAGGTGCAGGGCTTTACTGAAGTCCATCTGCTCCACCAGCAGCAGCAGCTTGCGCCGCACTTCCTGGGGTTTGAAAAGCAGGCCGTGGACGGGCTGGACCGAGCCGCACTCGCACAGGAACTCCAACACTGCGAGGAGAGCCAGGTCCTGCTGTGCCAGATGATCTTCTGATAGAAGGCTTTTCGCACCTGCAAGGTAGCGAGCAATGTGTATGAAACGTGCTAATTTTTTATTTAGCTGTCTGTGTTTTTAAGAAAGGAACAAACCAGGAAAGGACCCGACATACCTGGGCCGCAGGAAGTGTCGGTGTTGTCTCCTTTGGGCCTGTGGTTCCCGTTGGTGCTGCTCTGGGGCTCTTCACCATCATCAAACAAGTCAACATCATGGCCTTGCTGAGTTCTGGTCATTTCCCACTCATCATCCATGGGGTCATCCTCATCCATGACAGCGACTCTCCTGGCAGCAGTGCTTATCTAAAGGGAAAAAGAAGAGAGCTTGATTTCACAAGTCTGCTTTTCACATTAAGGTTTTTTCTTTTGTGTCCTTTAAATCTGTGACATGCTCTTTCTGTCGCTTACCAACATTTTGCAGATTTCCGCCAGCTCGCTGAGGAGGCT